CTTGTTTATTTTTTTTTTTTAAGATTTTATTTATTTATTTGAGAGAGTGAGGTTGAGCATAAAGGGAGAGTGAGAGTGAGAAGCCGACTCCCTGCTGAGCAGAGAGCCCGATGTGGGACTCATCCCAGGCCACTGAGGTCATGACCTGAGCCGAAGGCAGACGCTTAACCGACTGAGCCACCCGGGTGCCCACTGTAGGTTATTTTTAATAAAATGCAAAGATTAGGATTTTGATTTATGCATTCTTTTGTTTTAAAATTGGAGTTCCAGGGGAGGCTCTGTAGTTAAATTTTAGTTAATTGAGATTAGAATAAGTAACGTTAGTTGATTAAGATTAAATGCCTTAATTACCTGTTAACATTTCTAAAATGAACGAGTATAATAAGTTCTTTGAAACACTATTCGCTATCTGGGTATTGATACTGGCCATCTGGTATAGGCAGCTGGTGTTTGTGAGTGCCAAAGCTTTTCTTCATCTAGGAGAGGTGACCTTTTTTTTTTTTCTTTTGGATAAGCAACCTTTATCTTATTTATTTTTTAAGATTTCATTTATTTATTTGACAGAAACACAGTGAGAGAGGGAACACAAGCAGGGGGAGTGGGAGAGGGAGAAGCAGACTCCCCACTGAGCAGGGAGCCCGATGCGATGCGGGGCTCGATCCCAGGACCCTGGGATCATGACCTGAGCCGAAGGCAGACGCTTAACGACTGAGCCACCCAGGCGCCCCGGATAGGCAACCTTTAAATTGGGATTTCTTGGCTAGAGAAATGTCTTAGATGTGAAAATATTCTTGGAGGTCTAGGCTGGTGACTCATAGAACCACTGAATACTCGGAGGCACAAAGGGGGCCAATGAGAGCCTTGAGCCCCCTCGCTTGTGGATAGCACACGAAGAGCTTAGGTGACTTGTTCTAGGCCTCACTGCTGCCTGGTGGCAAAGCACATCCACCTTCCCTGGTGCCAGAGCAGTGTCTTTGTTAGCCATTTGTATCTAAGAAAGGAGAGAAAATTTCTCTATTTTTGAATGTTATGTGAAGCAGACTAATGGTTATCATTTTTAAAGTTAAACTTTTTTTTTTAAGATAAAATACAAGGTGCCCAGTTAAATTTGTATCAGATAAACAGTTTTTTGAAATAAACTTTTTGTAACTGAAGACTAACATACTGAAATGTGCATAAATCCAAGTCCCAACTCAATTTTCACAAAGTCAGCACACACCTATGTAACCAGTGCCCCTTGTATCCCTGCCCAGTCACCACCTCCCAGGACAATGGTGACCACCGTTCTGACTGCTGAAAGCATACCTTGGTTTTGCCTGTGTTTGAATTTTATATAAATGGAATCACATAATGATATATGCTTGCTTGTCTCGCTTGTTTCACTTAAACTGTTTTTCCTTTTCTTCCCCAACATTTTTTTTGTTTTTTCCACATTAGTTTTGTTTTACCCCCCTCCTTTTTTTTAAGATTTTATTTATTTATTTGAGAGAGAGAGAGTGCATGCATGAGTGGGGGGGAGGGGCAGAAGGAGAGAGAATCTCAAGCGGACTCCATGCTGAGCCTGGAGCCTGAGGCAGGGCTTGATCTCACAACCCTGAGATCATGACCCTAGCTGAAATCAAGCGTCTGAGCCACCTAAGGGGCCTCTTACCTCCTTTTTTTTAGATTTGAGGTATAATTTACATACAGTAAAATTAACTCATTTTACATGTATAATTTGAATTTTGGTCACTGCATACAGTTAGGTAATCACCATCAAGATCTAGGACCATTCCATCACCGTAAAAAAAAGTTTCCTTGTGCCTTTCTGTAGTTGATCTCCTGCTCTGATCCCAGGCTTTCTTTCACTGTGGTTTTTTTTTCTAGAATTTCATAAAATGAAATCCTATAGGTATGTAGTCTTTTTGCATTGCTGTATTATTCCATGGTAGGAGTGTACTGTTTATTCTGTTGGTGGACATCTGGGTTGTTTCTACTCTTATGCTATTATGAGTAGTGCTGCCCTGACCCTCCTGTGCGTGTCTTTACCACGTGCAGGTTCAGTTCTGTTGCACACACCCGCATGTAAAAGCGGAACTGCGAGGTTTGGCTTCAGTAGATGCTGCCAGCAGGTTTCAAAGTGGTTGTACCAGTTTCCACTCCGGACAGGTAGTATATGAAAGTCCTGGTTTTTCTGTATCCTCACCAACACTTGATGTCTGTCGTTTGTAATTTTAGCCATTCTGTAAGTCAGTAGTTGTAACTTAAGAACAACAAAATTGTAATGAGTTGCCGGCTGTTTTATAGGAGCTTCTCACCAAGCAAGGTCTTGTGTTAGGTGGGAGTTTATTTTGTGTGGCTTATCTTTCCTTTTTAAGTAATCTCTACACCCAGGGTGGGGCTCGAACTCACAATCCTGAGATCAAGAGTCCTATGTTTTGCTTGACTAAGCCAGCCAGGCGCCCCTGTCTGTTTTTCTTTTATAATTCTGTATTGTACTGCCATAGGTAGAATTGTTGATGAAAGTCCTGATTCTGAGTATTATTGAGAGGATTGACTTTCCAGGGCACCTGGGTGGCTCAGTTGGTTGAGCATCCGACTCTTGATCTCAGCTCAGGTGTTGATCTTGGGGTCATGGGTTCAAGCCTCTCGTTGGGTTCCACGCTGGGTGTGGAGCCTACTTAAAAAAAAGAAGAAGAAGAAGATTGAATTTCCACAGTGTAAGATGATACCGAATTTTGCTTTGCCAGTGTTGTGGTGTTTTTGAAAAGAGCAGTTAAAGCTGAATGCTTGTTTTCAATTTGTTTTAGCCTGAGGCCACTGAGAAAGGAGTCTATTTTCTGTAAATACTGCTTTTAGTCTGGGGGCAGTGGCTCATGTTCCTGGCTTCTCTTGCTTTTCAGTGAGGTGCTGGCAGAGGAGTCGATAGTATGTCTCCAGAAAGCTCTGAATCACCTTCGAGAAATCTGGGAATTAATTGGGATTCCAGAGGACCAGCGGTTACAAAGAACTGAGGTTGTAAAGAAGCATATCAAGGTGAGTGAGTCGTACTGGTCTGTTTGCAGTGGGACAGCCGTACGGATACTGGTGTCCCATTGGAGATGGTCGGGGAAGTGACACTGGGGTGTCACAGGCTCTTCCTGGTTTTGTTTCTATTTAAGTCCTTTCTTAAGAATTTGTAATTATGAAGGTTTTGGTGTTGTTGGTTTGGAGTTTTTCTCCCATTGGCCCCAAACTTTTATGGGACTGTTTTCTCTCTTGTAGGACCTCCTGGATATGATGATTGCTGAAGAGGAAAGCCTGAAAGAAAGGCTCATCAAAAGCATTTCCATCTGTCAGAAAGAGCTGAATACCCTGTGCAGCGAATTACACGTCGAGCCATTTCAGGTACGTGGTCGGGCCTTGGGGGCTCCTGCTTGGTCTGAGATTTAGGAAGGAACTCTGACTTGGGGCTGCAGATGGAAGATTTCCTTGTAGAATCTTGGCCATAAAAAGCGGGCAGAATTTGCCACCTAGTTAATTAGTTCCAGCAACTTTCACTTAGGTAAAGAGTTGCCCTGTTGAGAGGTGGAACAGCTAATAAGTGTTACAATCCTTTGATCAAAAACAGCTTCCTCTTGCCATCATTTTGTGGGGCATATAACTTTTTTTTTTTTTTTTTTTTTTAACTCTAAGGAAAAGCTAGGTATAGATGGTACTGTGCTATTCTTTCTCCGAAAGAAAATGAAAGGCACTATCTAGGAAGCAAAAGTGACTGGTGATACAAGGGAAAGTTACCAAAAGACCTGCCTTTGGGGGTTTTTTCATACCCAGTAGTTGTATACCACTGAACCAGCCAGAATGGCTACTTGAGGAGAAATGTCTCAAGAGCTGGAGTGTCTGGAGAACATAGTCAAATTCAGAGCATGCAGGATTATCTGTGTACCAGGCTGAGAGGTTGCCATTTGGTGGTCCAGCACAAGGCAGGGCTTGAATGAAGACACCAGCAAGGATGAAATGAATAACAGATAGGATAGAGGGTCCAAAATATGTCCCTGGGGAGGACCAGTAAAAATAGTGTTGGGATCATAAAAATGAAAACCAACGTGGAGCTTGGGAAGGTAATTCAATAGCTGTGAATGTAGGGCTAGCACAGGATGGCTGTAAGATTCTTGGGTCCCTCTCTCTGTTACAGCAAGAACTACCTGGGTATCTAGATGGAGTCAGCCTAGGAGGGAGTTTCTTCCTTTTCCTTTTCCTTTTCCTTTCCTTCCTTCCTTTCAAAAGATTTTCTTTATTTATTTGAGAGAGAAAGCACAAGTGGGGGAGGGGGGACAGAAGGAGAAGGAGAAGAAGCAGACTCCCCGCTGAGTGGGGAGCCTGATTTAGGACTCGATCCCAGGGCCCTGGGATCATGATCTGAGCCGAAGGCAGATGCTCAACCAAGTGAGCCATACCTGGCAGCCAAGAGCAATCAGATAGATCATGACATTAGTGGAATTTCCTGGAATCTACAGAAATGGCATATATATCATTGATTTTATTTTATTTTATTTATTTTTTAAAAATTTTATTATGTTATGTTAGTCACCGTACAGTGCATCATTAGCTTTTGATGTGGTGATCCACGATCCATTGTTTTCGTGTAACACCCAGTGCTCCATGTAGTACGTGCCCTCCTTAATACCCATCACCGGGCTAACCAATCCCCCTACCCCCCTCCCCTCTAAAACCCTGTTTGTTTCTCAGGTCCATAGTCTCTCATGGTTCATCTCTCCCTCCAATTCCCCCCGCCCATTTTTCCCTTCCTTCTTCTAATGTCCTCCATGCTATTCCTTATGTTCCACAAACAAGTGAAACCATATGATAATTGACTTTCTCTGCTTGACTTATTTCACTTAGCATAATCTCCTCCAGTCCCATCCATGTTGATGTAAAAGTTGGGTATTCATCCTTTCTGATGGCTGAGTAATATTCCATTGTATATATGGACCACATCTTCTTTATCCATTCATCTGTTGAAGGGCATCTCAGCTCTTTCCACAGTTTGGCTATTGCGGACATTGCTGCTATGAACATTGGGGGTGCATATGGCCCTTCTTTTTATATCATTGATTTTAGACAAATAGTTTCTTTAATCTTTTTCTTTTAACTTTCAATGTGAAATTAGGTGAGAAGTTAGATATACAGTGATCTATCTCCCTTAAATTATATGACAGTCTTTTATTAGTTCATGAACGTTGAATAAAATTGTGTAAATTTTTAAGTCCTATAACTGCCACTTTTTTTCCTCTTGTTAATCAGTTGGAGTAGAGCAAGGACTATTGATTTTTATTGGTTAGGTGATATTCTTAGGATTATTAGGATGAGCATCATGTTTTGAACTAAATATACTATGCGATAGCTAACTCAAAGCAAGCTTTCCAACCACTTTTCACCTCTTGCAAAAGTGTCCTGGTACCTTTCCTTATTCGAGACCTTTCTTAGGGAACTCTGTTTGTGCCATATTTTTTTGGCCATGAGTTGACTTATTTGTAAGTTTACCTTAAAAGTCTGTCATCCAAGGGGCGCCTGGGTGGCTCAGTCAGTTAAGCGTCTGCCTTCGGCTCAGGTGATGATCCCAGAGTCCTGGGATTGAGTCCCATGTCAGGCTGCCTGCTCAGCGGGGAGTCTGCTTCTCCCTCTGCCCTTCACCTGGGCTCGCTCGCTCTCTTGCTCTCTCAAATAAATAAAATCTTAAAAACAACAAAAAAAAGGCCTGTCATTCTAGCCCTCTTCCATTGTCCTTCTCTTCATTTGAAGAGATCCACTTGGAACTTTCTCACAATAGTACATTGTCTCCTGCAGGAAGAAGGAGAGACGACCATCTTGCAGCTAGAAAAGGATTTGCGCACTCAGGTAGAACTGATGCGAAAACAGAAAAAGGAACGAAAACAGGAACTGAAACTACTTCAAGAACAAGATCAAGAGCTGTGTGAAATTCTTTGCATGCCCCACTATGACATCGACAGCACCTCAGTTCCCAGCTTAGAAGAGCTGAGCCAATTTAGACAGCACGTGGCCACGATGAGGGAAACAAAGGTAAGCGCTTGCAGTCATACTTCCTAAAAGTCAGTTTTGACTTTCCTGTAGGTAGGTACTTGTAATCATTTTATTTTATAGGCATCTAGACGTGAGGAGTTTGTCAACATAAAGAGACAGATCATCCTGTGTATGGAGGAATTAGATCACACCCCAGACACAAGCTTTGAAAGAGATGTGGTGTGTGAAGATGAAGACGCCTTTTGTTTATCTCTGGAGAATATTGCAACACTACAAAAGTTGCTTCGGCAGGTAATGACTACTCACATTATGGCCTGGGATCTCCATAGTGTCCAGAGATTTGAAAAAACTGACAGTTTTGTCCTTCTGCCTTAAATAAGCCAGTGTAAGTTAAAAGAATGAGGGAGGATAAAGATAGTAAATATTATATAACCTCGGGGGGGTTTTGTCTTCTTTTCTTTTTAACAAAAAATGTATTTGTGGCTCCAAGAATGAAATTGAAATCTTGGATGAAATACTATTAGTCATGTGAATTAACTTAGTATTTAATTTTTTTTAATAATCTGAATCCTAATTCTTGGGGCTTGAGATTCTACCATAATGGCAGCCATACAGTTTGTGTTCAGAAGTCATGAAAACACACTTCTTCACAATCTAGTAAAAGTGCTTCTCCTCTCTGTGGGTCCAGACATTTCTTTGCGGGAAGCCACAGGGCTGGCCTTCTTTGTGCTGCTGTCTTTGCCATAACCATTGGCTCTCCTTGCTACAGCTGGAAATGCGAAAATCACAAAATGAAGCAGTGTGTGAGGGTCTGCGAGCTCAGATCCGAGAGCTCTGGGACAGGTTGCAGATACCTGCAGAAGAGAGAGAAGCTGTGGCCACGGTTATGACTGGGTCAAAGGCCAAGGTCAGGAAAGCGGTAAGAAATCCAGTGGGCACTGGGTCAGCAGTCTCTATGAGTGTCAAGTGTATTGTCTTCAACAGTGTCTGCCTCAAGCGAGCCTGTTTTTTGTTTTAAAGATTTATTTATTTGAGAGAGAGCGTGTGCACAGAATGTGCAAGAACACGAGTGGGGTGGGTGGTGGAGGGAGAGAAGCAGACTCCCCACTGAGCAAGGAGCCTGATGCAGGGCTCTATCCCAGGACCCAGGGATCATGACCTGAGCCAAAGGCAAACACTTAACCAACTGAGCCACCCAGGCATCCCACGAACCTGTTTTTAAGGCAAGCATTAGACAAGGGTGGCTGTAGCCTGCTCATCTTCTGTCCTTTGTGGACATTTCTTAGGTTTCTGGCTCCCATGATATCAGCGTTATAAAAAGTGTTGACTGGGGCACCTGGGTGGTTCAGTGGGTTGGGTGTCCAGCTGTTGAGTTTGGCTCAGGTCATGATCTCAGGGTCGTGGGATCAAGCCCACACCCAGCTTGGAGCCTGCTTGGGATTCTCTCCCTCTCTGCCATTCTGTGCACGGGCATGCACACTCTCTCTCTTAAGAAAAAAAAGTGTTGATTTACCTCTGTGGCTTTGTGTTATAATTTTATTTAAATGCCGGGGGCGGGGTGGGGGGCTTTTGAACTTTTGTATTCCTATGTGAGAGTAAACGTATGGCAAGCACTTTTACCAAGTCTCTTTGTTACAGCTGCAATTGGAAGTGGATCGGTTGGAAGAACTGAAGATGCAAAACATGAAGAAAGTGATTGAGGCAATTCGAGTGGAGCTGGCTCAGTATTGGGACCAGTGTTTCTACAGCCAGGAGCAGAGACAGGCTTTTGCCCCCTACTATGCTGGTTCGTACACAAGCGGAGGTCTTCCTGAGGGCAGACATTCACCAGCACGTATTTCCTCTACCAAACAGATACAGCTGCCTTTTCAAGCCATGTAGCATAAATTGCCATTCCTGCATAATTAACATTTGCAAATGCCACTAGGAAATAAAGGGCCTCTTGATTCCTGAAATAGTAAATCACTGTAGCCTGTAGTTGTGAGGCTCAAGTCTGTCGGGTGCTTACTCCATGCCAGGTGCAGTGTTAGACCCGTTATCTCACTTAATCCTCACCTCAAGAGATGAGGACATGAAGGCACATAAATGTTCAGCAAATGCACTAAGAGGCACACAGCAGGTCAACAGCAGAGCCCATGTTTGAGCCCATGGAATCCATCCCCAAGAGCTCAACAGAATTCGAGTCTGACCTGAACAGAGTATAAAGATGAGATTGTACTAAGTTTTTATTTTTATTTTTTTTTAAAGATTTTATTTATTTGACAGAGAGACACAGCGAGAGAGGGAACACAAGCAGGGGGAGTGGGAGAAGGAGAAGCAGGCTTCCCGCTGAGCAGGGAGCCCGATGCGGGGCTCAATCCCAGGACCCTGGGATCATGACCTGAGCCAAAGGCAGACGCTTAACGACTGAGCCACCCAGGCGTCCCTGAGATTGTACTAAGTTTTTAGACATTTTCTGTGAGCAGGATGGAAAGGAAGACTGTGAAGGAAACCTAGAACAAGGCAAGAAGTGACACAGAACTTTTGAAAATCTTCATCATTGTAACCTACACCCTAGCCCCTTACTCCCTACTCTCCCCAGACTGATCATGTGACAGAGCTGGCTTTATCATCCACAATATATACTTAATTCATGTGTCATTTTTACTATAAGGAAGAAAAACTGATTTCCATCTGGGGAGGATAAGGATGAGGGATTAGTAAATTGGGATGCTAAACACTAGAGGAATTTTTTAAAACTTCTGGGCCTGTATCTTGCAGAGGACTACACGGAAAATCTGCTCCAGCTCCATGATGCTGAGATTGTGCGGTTAAGAAACTACTATGAGGTTCACAAAGAACTCTTTGAAGGTGTCCAGAAGTGGGAAGAAAGCTGGAGACTTTTCTTGGAGTTTGAGGTACCGCCCTAGCTTCTGTTTCCCTAGAGTATAATCAAGGCTTAAGGCCTGCCCTGCACAGAGTCAGAATCCACTCTCCTTTCTCTTTACCAGGTTTCTAACACCCTGTCTTCATCACTAAGTTTCTGAGTTACTGCTAACCCACCTGTGTTTGCAAAGCTCAGAGGTGGGAGCATAGAACTAAATTAATGCCTTCAATAAGGTAGAATTCTTGCATAAAGAAGTCCAGAGTTACAGCATACAGGGCAGGTCCAGCTGTTCGACAGTCAGTGGTGTCCCAGGCTTCTCCAGCCCAGGGCTCCCCCACCACTAAGGGGTGGACATTATCCTCAGGTTCAGGGTAGCTGTAGAGCTCCCCCTGTTGCGCTTCATGCCCTGCCCCTCCAGCCCCTCTGAGGGCTCTTCCCAGCCCCTCTGCTTGCACACCACACCAGCTGCTGGTGAGGCTGGGGGAGCTTTTGCCACAGATAAATTCAGGTTCTCCGGACAAAGGAAGGAGAGGGCGGATGTGGGGCCAGGCAGTTGTTATTTGCTACCATTCCAACTTCTGTCTTCTTAGAAAGTTGCCTGGGTATTAGGGCACATTTGTATAGTCTGAATTCCTCTTCTTCTGACAGACTTGGCACTCACAGCTTTCCTCAGAGCTTTTCTGAGCTCAGGGCTGGGAGGACTTGGTTGAGCCAGACGAGACATGCAGGGCACACGGAGACTCCTTCTCAGAGCTTGAAAGGGACCGTTAGAGAATCTGAGTTCAACTCCTTCAAGGTTATAGGAGGGAAACGAGGACTCAGATGGAGAGACCTGTGTGAGATCTCACAGCTGTTTAAGAACAGATGTCCTACTGTTACTCCTTAGCTTGTGGTTGAAAGCAAGAAGGGAGGGTAGTAAATGTCAGTAAAGAGCCAGATAAGTAAGTCTTGTGGACATGCCAGTATTTAAGGAAAAATAAAAGCATTACCATCCCCTGTAGTTAGTGTTTATGGGCAGTTAGCAATCAAGTGGTCTGGAAGGGGGAACAATTTCTTTACAAGCTTTGCCTCCAAATTGTCAAGATTGTTGCTAAAGTTTTCTGATGATCTGCTCCAATTTTTGAGTGTATAAATCTAACTTATATGCACAAATTACATGCTTAAATTACTGTTCTGGTATACCGTATACATGATACAGTAACAAAAAACAGAAAAGAGGAGGAAGCCTAACACTTTACATGTTTACTTGCCTATTTTGTGAGTGTTAATTTCATAAACACCGGGTTATAAACCACCTAACTGGGCACATTTAAGCTGCATTGTCAATATGCTAGAAGTGAGTGGGCAAGTAGGGGTGCCACCACCAAGCCCTCCCGAGTGTAGACCTCTCCCTTGTCCCTCCACATATATTCCCTATAGATGACAAAGTCGTCTTTGACATCTGAACCAAGGAAGGGAGCCAGTGACATTGTGCATTACATATTAAAGCCTATCTTTTATTTTTTTTAAGATTTTATTTATTTATTTGAGAGAGGGAGAGAGCTAGGGGGAGAGGCAGAGGGAGAAGCAGACTCCCTGCTGAGCCAGGAGTCTCAAGCGGGGCTCAATCCCAGGACCCTGTGATCATGACCTGAGCTGAAGGCAGATGCTTAACCCACTGAGCCATCCAGGGGCCCCCTCTGTTGCTTTTAGATTAAAAAGGAAACCGTAGTTTTTTTACACGCCAGTGGATGATCTTGCATGTGCCTGTGGTGCTCACACCCCACTCTCCTGTCTTAGAACACCACCATTTCTCGCTGCTGAAAGTGGATGGGAATGCGAAACTCTGAGTCTCCTTAGTATGTATCAGTTTATGAGAGCAAGGAATCTTAGCAGTAGTTACTAGTCTGATCATCTCAGGGCCTACTCTAATTAAAAGGTATTTTTTACAGAGAAAAGCTTCAGATCCAAGTCGATTTACAAACCGTGGAGGAAATCTTCTAAAAGAAGAAAAGCAACGAGCCAAGCTTCAAAAAACACTCCCCAAGGTAACATCGCTACTAAGAATTTTTGGCGCTTGGCTACAAAATACCTTACTTTTTTGTATAGCCTTTGCTTTGAATTGTCTTGCCCCAGAACTGTCTTCTTTTCCAAAGCTTAGGCAAGGATGGTAAGTATATACCGAGCCTTCCTGGTGTAAGCACCTGAATATCAAGGTTTCTTAGCTTTCTAGGGCTGCCATAGCAAAGTGCCACAGACTTGGGGGGCTTCAACAACAGAGATTTATTTTTTCACAATTCTAGAGGCTAGAAGTCTGAGATCAGAATATCAGTAGGGCTGGTTTCTTCTGAGGCCTCTCTCTTTGACTTGTGGATGACTTGCCTTCTCCCTGTATCTTCACATGGCCTTCCTTCTGTATCTATATCCAAATTTTCTTTTAACAAAGCCACCGGTCACGTTGGATTAGGACTCACCTGAATGACCTCATTTTTTTTCCCCCAAATGACTTCAACTTCATTACCTGCCTGTCCAAATAAAGCGACATTCTGAGGTACTTGGAGAGTTAGCACTTAAACATGACTTTGGGGAGGATGCAATTCAGCCTATAGCATAAGGCAAGCTTTTGAGAAAGTGCGAGAGTGCAGGGTGGTGGGGTGGAGGGAGGGAGAAGCAGACTCCCCACTGAGCAGGGAGCCCGACACAGGGCCCACTCACAGGACGGGGAGATCATGACCCAAGCGGAGGGCAGACGCCCCACTGACTGAGCCACCCAGGCGCCCCCTGTTGTCCATTTTAATAGTAGTAGTAATTGTTACCCTTTATTAAGTGTCAGATACTGTTGCAAAGTGCTTTCCATTTATTAATTCATTTAGTTGTCACAACATCCTTATGAGGTTGGTATCATTTCCATTTTTATAGATGAGGAAATGCCCTGAGAACTTCAGTAACTTGCCCACCTTTTCATAGCCAGTGAGAGGTAGATTCCAGATCAGAACCCAGAGAGTGGTGCTCGTAACCCACACTGCCTATTTCATGTTCGTCTTCCCCAGTGCTACCTCCAGCTTTAGGCACCAAAACCCTAGTTAGACTCTGGGTTCCTGCCTTTTCCCACCTTCATGTGTGTTATGAATAAACCATTACTAGGCTTTACTTTCCGGTCACTCTGACCTGTACCCACATGGGTCCAGCAACTTGATGTTGAGCTCATGGTTCTCTGGGGTGGGGTCCTCCTTTGGGAGAATCATTTCATTCGAGCTTCATACCAAAGATTTGAAGTAATTAGCATGTCCTTGTCTATGATCCCAGTTGGAAGAGGAGTTGAAGGCACAGATTGAAATGTGGGAACAGGAGCATTCGAAGGCATTTGTGGTGAATGGGCAGAAGTTCATGGAGTACGTGATGGAGCAATGGGAGATGCATCGACTGGAGAAGGAGCGAGCCAAGCAAGAAAGAGTGAGCGAGCATAGTGGGGGACAAAGGGACAGGGGGAATGTGAGCAGCCCAGGGTCTCTGCGAGGGATGAGGGGTGGCTGAAGAGGTAGCCCTGGGTACAGGGACTGGGCACTCGATTTCTGGCCCTGCTTCTGTCCCATCTCAGGCCTATTCCCTTCCTGAGATTTATCACTGTTGCTTCTGACTTCCACACAGCAACTCAAGAACAAGAAGCAGACAGAGACAGAGATGCTCTATGGCAGTGCTCCCCGAACCCCCAACAAGCGGCGAGGACTGGCACCCAACACACCGGGCAAAGTGCGCAAGGTGAACATGAGGCTTTGTGAACCACTCTTTTTTTTTTTTTTTAAAGATTTTATTTATTTATTAGAGAGAGAGAGAGTGAGTTAGCAAGAGCAGGAACACAAGCAGAGGGGATTGGGAGAGGGAGAAGCAGGCTTCCCGCTGAGCAGGGAGCCCGATGCGGGGCTCGATCCTAGGACCCTGGGATCATGACCTGAGCCGAAGGCAGACGCTTAACGACTGAGCCCCCCAGGCGCCCCTGTGAACCACTCTTTACGAGGGGCTGTTGAGGCTAGGGCTCTTGGCCACCTCTTGCCTCCTGCCCTACAGATGGGAAAGGGTTTTGGGGGCCTTCTGGTTTGGGTTCCTCTAAAAGTATGAATGGAAGACTATACTTATCCCCAGTAGCAACTCGATAATGACAGTCATGGAGCGGTCAGCTCGGATGTGTGCCTGTTGTTGAGGTCTCGGGTTAAACTCAGGGGAGACCATACTGCCAACAGTCTGTAATGATGAAGACCTTCAGAGGTTCATCCTGGAATTCCAACAAGTGACCGTGCGTGGTATTCTGTGAAAGACTTTCATGTTTAGTAAATGGAATATTCAGTACTCCTCAATCTCTGGAGCAGGAAATTGGGGAGAATTTTAACCTTTTCTTTGATAAATGAAGTAGAGCATTATTTCCCTTCTCTTTCCTCAGCTCATATTTTCTAACACATAGATAGTTAAAGAATTACCTGCAGGGGCACCCGGCTGGCTCAGTCAGTAGAATATGCGACTCTTGATCCAGGGACCAGGAGTTCAAGCCCCATGCTGGGGGTAGAGGTTACTTAAAGAAAAAAAAAATATCACCGATAAACTCCAAGAGGACCACTGAGAATATTTGTTTTTCCTGATTTTAAAAAAGCTTTTAAATAATATATTTTTAAAAACAAAACAGAGATAACATATAATTTGGATTTCTGCCTTTTCCCTACTTGGTTGTGATTTTTTTTCATAGCATCAAACATTCTTCAAATACACGCTCGTTATTATTAGCTGTACATTCTATCCTGACATGCTGTCATTTATTAAACTAGCTCCCTATTGTTATATAGTTTTTAAAGATTTTAAAGATTTATTGTCTTAAAGAGTGTGCGTGCCCATGCTCAAGGGGGCGGAGAGGGGCAGCGGGAGAGGGAGAGAATCTCAAGCAGGCTCCATTCCTAGCACAGAGCCCAGCCCAGGGCTTGATCCCATAACCCTGAGATCACAACTTGAGCCGTAATCAAGTCAGACACTCAACCGACTGAGCCACCCAGGTGCCCCTACGTAGAGTTTATTTTTTTTAAGTTTAGTTTTATTGAGTAAAATTGGCACATGAAGTGTATGCTTTCATAAGTTTTGACACATGTATACACCGCGAAACCATCACCACAGTCAAGCCTGTGAACACATCCATGGCACGCAAAATTTCCTCCTGCAGTTTGTGTTCCCTTTGCTCCCCCACAGCAGCCACAGACTTGCTGTCACCACTGACTAGTTGCATTTTCTAACATTTTATATACGTGCAATTACATAGTATGTATTCCTTTATGGTCTGGCTTTTTTCATGTAGCATAATATTTGTGAGATTCATCTATGTGGTTGCATATGTAATAGGTCACTCCTTTTTAATGGGGACCGGTAGTCCATTGCATGACTCGACCACAATTTGCTTATGTGCCTGTGGATGGACATTTGGCTTGGTGGTGGTGTTTGGGCTATTACACAAAAAGCGGCTATATTTGTACATTGGTCTTTGTATGGATATCTGCTTTCATTTCTCTTGTGTAAATACCTAATTTGATAGATTTAGAAACAAAATGGCTGTACCATTTTATAGTTCAATCCAGATAGAAATCGGCTTTGAACACTTATCACAGGTTTCCTCAAAGCTCTTAACCATGGAAACCCATCTTTCTTAGACGGTTTCCTATATTCCTTTCTCTCTAGTGTAGGGATGGGCTGCTGAGCATGTTAAATATGTTCTGTCCTTCTGGTCTCCTTAGCTGAACACTACCACCATGTCCAATGCTACGGCCAACAGCAGCATTCGGCCGGTCTTCGGGGGGACAGTCTACCGTTCGCCTGTGTCTCGACTTCCACCTTCTGGCAGCAAGGTTAGTATGTTCTGCGTACAAGGACGTCACCAACACAGCTCCGGCCTATTTAGGGGCCCCACCTGCTTGTTCCAGTTTCTAAGATCCCTGGATTCAATTTTCATTGAGATGCTGAGAGTAAGCTAGCTTATCTGTCAAAAAAAAAAAAAAAAAAGTGGTCATTCTGAACCCCAGTAGTATCATGGGAATCACTGGGATGTAATTCTGTGGGCTCAGTTCAAAGCCTGGTCTTCAGCTGCTGCTGAGTGAGGTCCGATGACCCTGGTCCACGAGACAGTCGGGTACCCTCACGTAAGGAGAGGTAGGGAATATGGGCTAAATGTGTCTTCCAAGTATTTTACAGACTGGGCTCAAGAGAGGTACTCTGCAAACCATTAAGAATTCATATATTTTTTAAAACCACAAGTAGAGACATGAATAATATAAAGACATTATTAGCCTTTGGCCACTTGCTCGCACAGACGTGCGTGCGTGCGTGTGTGGGTGTGTGCGGGTATGTGTGGTCATTATGAGCATGATGCACAGATTTCTCTCTTTTCTTTGCAGCCAGTCATCACTTCCACTTGTTCGGGGAAAAAAACACCCCGTGCTGGGAGGCATGGAGCCAACAAGGAGAACCTGGAGCTCAATGGCAGCATCCTGAGCGGTGGGTACCCCGCCTCGGCCCCCCTCCAGCGCAACTTCAGCATTAATTCTGTTGCCAGCACCTATTCTGAGTTTGCGGTAATTCACCTTTTCTAATATCTACCAGTCTCTGGGGAGCACACAGTTGGGGCAGAGCGGGTTTCTTCCCCAGGGCACCCAGACGATTAGGACAGTTCTTTGGAGGCTGAGAATCCCTTTCCTGCCTTGACCGTGGCATGGGGTCGGGTGGTTTAAGGGGATATATAAGAAGGAAGTTGGCAGTAGCAACTCGACATTTAACCTGGATCCTTCTGCTTAAGAAATACCATTCCCTGGCTGCAGGAGGTGACTTCTGATCACTGCCCTGGTGCTCTCTTGGTGGAGTTCTTGGTAATTGTCTTAATTCTTTGTTCTTAGAAGGATCCGTCCCTCTCTGACAGCTCCACTGTCGGGCTTCAGGTCTGTATGGCAATCCCTGCATGTCCCATGTCCGTTTTCCAAACTCCTCTGTCACATCTGCTGGCTTAATTCCCATCTGGGCACGGAGCTACACTAACCAATCTCAGCTGTACTATCCTAGAACCTTTTTTTACAAAGGAAGCAGGAATTCCTAACGCAGAAATCAAAAATACTTTCTGATTTAAGTCCCAACAGCCTAACCTGCTCATTAACACCTGTTCAGACTTGAATTGGATTCTCAGCCCTACCTAAAGTCAGGCAAAGTTTTTTTTGTGATGTATTTCACACCAGAAGACCTTCACCCTCCCCAATTGTGACATCAGAGGCCTCCAGTGTGCTGGAAAGAATAGAGGCCCCATCACGTGGGGAGGGGAGCCCCAGCTGTGTGCTATCATGAGGTTCCTGGCCTGTGTGCTGATTATTTCCTGGAGTATATGCCTTACTAACCGCCTGGGGATGAACTGCCAACTTTCTGTCTCCTGTGAGCTCCCCACTGCTTGTGTCCTTGCCTCTGAGCTGCTCAGGCTTACACGCGGCTCTGAAAAAGTGGTTTTTTCCCAGACACTCTTCAGTTCCTAGTAACCTACTCCATCTTGACTAACACTTAACTGCAGTGCCCTTTACTTAACAATGTGTGCTCTCTCCTCTGTGTCTTCCTGTTGGGGGGGGGGGGTGTTCCTCCCCCATGCTGCCGACTACCTTGCTGCAGTGACGGAGAATGGGGCAGGTGCCCGAGGCTGGAGCTCGGAAACTAGCTTCACACTATGGCACTTTTTTCAAATTACACGACTGGTAGGGCTTTATTTACAGAAGTGTGTCACTCTGGCTAGCTGACTGCTGGACAGAGGGTCCCGCTTTCTCTTGCTTGCTTAAGCCAAGCCCCGTGTCATCCCCTTGGGGCTTAAATGTATCTGCTTATCTTTATGGCAAGGCCGAGGGAGGGAGGGTCTATCTGGTTTGGGTTGCTATGGCTGGTAGACTCCACCAGGCAGTACCAAAGCCAGCGGACTAACCTCGACTAACCTCTCTCTTACTCAGTGGTCATTCGTGCTTTATCTTCTTCTCTTCCATGTGCTCCAGCATGAGATCAAATCACCAGCAGGTTACAAGGCCCTCAGCCCCAGGGATTGGTAGATAGATGGTCTGGCCCCCTGCTTTATAAAGGGCTCAAAAGACCAAAGGTTGTTGCCTGCCCAGCTTGATAACTCCAGAGAGTACTTTGTGAAGTGTAAGCGATTTCTCTTCTGTGAGGTTTTAACAGAACGTACTGGCTAAGGAAAGGGGTCCAGGGTCACCATGTGCACATGCTTCATCTGTGACTAATAGAATGGTGCTCAGAGTCTCTCATCTGATGTTCCTAACACGACCCGTGCTGGAGAGGGACCTGGGGCTCGGAGAAACACACGCCTGTGCACACGAGGGTGGGGCGCGTGGGAGTGGGTCCGTAGTGCCGCTGACCGTGTTTATTTTTCAACAGCGAGAACTTTCAAAGGCTTCCAGATCTGACGCTACTTCTCGAATCCTCAATTCGACCAACATCCAGTCCTGAGAAGCCCTGATCAGTCAGCTGCTGTGGCTTCCTGTGCTTAGACTAGATCTGATTAGACAGGGGTGATTTTTCTTGAGTTTAGGTGTGCTTGAAAATCTGGTTCCACTGCCACGGGCCTAACGACAGATGTGAATGAGAGTTACAGATGAAGATCCATCAGAGGTTTAGTGGGTCTTCAAAAACTTGATTTTGTTTTGACCCAAGAAATACATTAAAACTTAGTTCATAGTGGTAAGTGCAAATTTTAGCAGATGGAACCTGATTTCTTTGCCCCGTAATTCTACTTGCTGAAGCACGAGCAAGGGCTTGTATCTCACCATTGTGTAGCAAAAATGATTGTGCCCATCCTGGGAGCATGGGACATGAAGTGAGATTGGCCTGTACCCTTAGAATTAGTAATTAACATCTTTTTTGCTTAGGGATGTTCCATTAATGCTATAGCTGTGATAGCTTTGCTCTCACCTAAAGATCTGTCTCCACCACACAGGATAGCCTTCCTCCTGATGAGGGTGTCTGTGTGTCAAAGTTGAGACGGCCTGACCTACTGCCAAAGAGGTGACAGGGAGGCTGGGAGCTCCTTTGTTTTGGTTATATAGTGCAATGCCCTTTGTGGGGTATGTGTGTCCGAACACACACGCTCACCTGAACGCTGTTTCTGTAGTCTTCTCTGGGTCGAGGCCCCCAGCCCTGTGCCCACTGGGCCGGAGTTCGTCTGCCCCCTGCAGTTGGCAGCCACGGTGGGAGGCGGTCGGGACGGGTTGGGCCATTTCTGTCCCGGAGATCTGGAACTTTGCACATGTCAGTACTGGGGAGTTCCTCACCTACCCTGCCGATCACTACTGCTCTCCCCGAAGCCCTATTTATTCTCACTCTGCCTGCCCGTCAGCACGTTCAATGGTTCTCGAAAGCTCGCGGCATGGGTTTGGTCTGTGTCAGCCATGCTGCTTAGACGCATACATGTCCTGTTTTTAAAAATATAAATATATTCTTGAAAATAAATTAATGCGTATACTGACGTTTCAAAAAGATACATGGTGGTGGTTTTTCTTTTTTCCCCCAAATCACTTTTTGGTCAGTTTGGTCTGTGGAAAACAGAAAAGACTAAAAACATACAAGAAATTTTTAGTCAGGAGTGTGATTTTTATATTCTTTTATGCACTTATTTCTAAATTTAAAATATTTTTTATTTTGAGGAAAAATCCAACTCCTGATATATAAAGGGGCTGAAGTCCTATTAGGAAATTTATGGCTACATTGTTGTCTGCCCTTAACAGGATTAACTTTTACAGGGTGAGGTTGCCTGGCCCTTTGGTTTTTTAACAGCCTTTGATTAGAAAATACACGTTGGAAGTGTATACTTGGATAAATTTTGATGTATATGTACACCTGTGAGACCATCGCCCCAATCAAGTCCTGTTATCCTAGGTTTTGCAAAAATCTTCTCCCAGTCTGTGGCTTCTCTTCTCCTCCTTTTAACAGTGTTTCTGAACAACAGAGGGTTAACTTTGATAAAGTCCCGTTTCTCTTTAGATTGTGCGTTTGTTCTAAGAAATCATTACCTAATCCAAGAGGTAACAGTTTTCTAGAAGTTTAAAATTTCAGGTTTTGCATTTATGTCTGTGATCCGTTTGGGCTCTGTGTATTTATGTGTATGGCTCCAAGTCTGACTTCAAGTGAGTGCATTTTCTTTGCATACAGATATCAAGTTGTCTAGCAACGTTAGTTGAAAGGCTGTCCTTTCTCCACTGCACTGCCTTTGTACCACTGTCGAAAATCAGCTGTATCCATTGGTCCTAATGCCCATACTCTATGGTCTTGATTACTGAAGATTTAATATTCTTGAAACGAGTGTTAGCTTTCTAATTTTATTTTTTCATTTCTGGCACTTAAGTAGGCTCCACACCCCACGTGGGACTTGCACTCATGACTGGGATCAAGAGTCGCATGCTCTACCTGCTGAGCCAGCCAGACGCTTATACCTTTAAAAGTCACTTTGGCTGTTCTAGGTCCTTTGCATTTTCATATGAATTTCAGAATTAGCTTGTCAGTTTCTACAAAAAATCGAGGATTATTGAATCTATAGAAGAATTTAGGGAGAACTGACATCTCCATTTTAGATGTTCTCTCACCGATATTTTATAGGTCACATATACAGATCTTTCACATCTTTGTCAGATTTATTCCTAAGTATTTCATATTTCTTGATGCTACTGTGATATTCTTAAATTACAATTCCTGGTTGTTGCCTGCCTCTAGGAATACAGTTGATTTCTGTATATTGCTCTTGTATTCTGCTTGCTAAACTCACTTATTAAAAGAAAAATGAGAGGCACCAGGCTAGCTCAGTGGGAGGAGCATGCAACTCACGATCTTGGGGTTGTGAGTTCGAGTCCCATGATGAGTGCAGAGATTACTAAAAATAAACTTTAAAAGAAAAATTATCACATTTGGCACATTCCTTCATGACTTAGCCATGAGACAACTCTGTCTCACCCTCTACTTCTTGCTTGTGTGGAGCCTAAAGACTAGCCTGAGTGAGGGGCGCCTGGGTGGCTCAGTCGGTTAAGCGACTGCCTTCGGCTCAGGTCATGATCCTGGAGTCCCGGGATCGAGTCCC